CTGGTTGGTCACCCAGCAGCTTCCCTGGGAACCCACCTGGTTTTCACTTTGATCTCTTTTGGTTAGTGACCTTTTCTTGTCATACACATTGTCCAGCCTAGAGGCAACACATCCTCACAAGACTTAGAGGTGCCACAAAACTACAAAGGAAAAAGGAATTTCACACAAAGCCTCAGCAATATCTATGTACTCACTAAAGCAAGAGCAGACCTCAAATATTACTTATAAAAGGACAGGTTGTGTTTTGGATTTCTGTGGTTTCCTGTGTTTATAGTTTTATTTCCAGATTATGAGATACTTTCTTTGAAATCTTTTTCAAGCCCTTCTTCATACAACCAGTTTCACCATTCTCTCGCTTCTTCACCTCCTCTTTATTTTATAAAATATTTTCCGGATGTTCTGACTGAGAATCACTTTGCTCAGCTGTGTTTCCACTTCTCTGATCATTGTCTCAGTGAAAGAGGTTAGAGACTTCTTCTACCCTTCCAAAGAAATCTGGTTGCATGTGCAGCCCCAATTCCAACCCTGGTTTCATTCTCCACCAAACACTCCATGTCCTATGCTTCCTGTCACTCACTCAGAAGGAAAATACCAGGGATGACTTTGTCACAGCAAATTCTGTGGCTCAAACCTCTGTGGACAGATCTAGAGCTGACAGGTTTGCCAGGCACCACTATTTATGAGCTGTGCCTGTTAACACACAACACAGGGATGTATGTGAGTGCTTTACAGAGTGAACTATGAAACACACAAATAGGTTTGGCAGTCTCAGAGGTGAAATTCTGAAGCAACTGCCTCTCAGAAGACCAATACAACACTCATTGCAAAATCTGATTCAGGGTTCAGTTAGCATGTTAAAATATGCTCAGCTCACAGTATTGCATAAGGCACGTCCTATCAGTCAGCAGATCAGCCACCCCTGGGAGAGCAGAACAGTCCAGACTGCCACGGCCTGGAGTTCCTGGAGCTGGAGCACAGCCTGGGCTCACCTGGCTGGAAGGTGCTGAGGAACAGACGGGGCTCAGGAGGGTGGGGCAGGGGAGGCCCCGGGGCTGCTCTGCAGCGACTGACTGGTAAGGCAGGACCTACCAGGGTGAGCACTGTGCACCTGATGTCCCCATCACCTCATGCTGTCCCACCCTGGGCCATCCTCCACAGCTCTGTGCGTGACTGCAATGGCAGAATGGCAGCTGAGCTGCTCCCCACAGACACAGACCCTGTGCCCGAGCCCCAGACTGGCTATTCCAGACTGGCACGTGACACTCACTGGACGGGAAACGCAAACAGCCTGTTTCCACACAATGCTCGGAGCACGAGTGTGTTTTGCTGGTCAAACTGTGGGGCTCTCAGCCACACAGAAAGCCTTTTCCCTCCCTCCTGCTCACAGAAGTCTGACTTGAGGCTCTCCAATCCCCTGCAAAGTACTCTCAGCAGCCCCCCCACAGCACTGCAAGCAGACAGACCTACAGCACAGCCAACACTTTGGCTTCTCTACTCTGGTCTCTCCAGGCCTGCCTAAATCCTTCTTCCACAGTCCTCTGCCACACCAAGGGCTTCAACCACAGCCTGAAGGGCTGTAAATCAAAGGCTTCTCAGAGATCCATCTTTCAGGAGTTTTCTGCAGTGGTAACAGAAATCAGGGTAGCACTTCTGGCACGTAATTTTGCTGGTGGGGTTGTACTACACCAGTTTGTGAGTTAGAGGTACGTGGTGAGGTTTTAGCAACACCCTTTGTAGCACAGGAGTGAGGTCAGGCTCAACAGAAACCAAACATTTCACGGCACATTCACAACCAAGGACACCAGCACTGCTGTTTGTGCTGCAATGATGTGAATATAAATTATAACATCTATAATGCAGAATCCAAAGTATGTATGAAGAGATACAATCTGCATAACACTCAGCAGTGAGAATGCAAATTGGATGGATTTAGGGGACTAAAGAATAACTTGAGAGTTTTGGTTTCAGAGTTCCTTCCAAAAGATAAGATTGAGCATCTGTCAGTCATCTTCCATCTTGCCAAGCTGAGAATACATGAGAACACTTAAAGAACTGCTCTGCTCATATATACCCATTCTTTTTTCTGAGCAGCACAACACACCTGTAACACACCTCATCACTCACACGACTGCTTACAGGGCCACACCTGACAGATAAACAGGGGTTCAGCTGCCCTGTTGTTCTGCAGCTCTCGGCACCTGACAGTGTTGCAGTTGGAGTCTCACGGGGGCCAGAATGGAAATGCAATCACAACACCTTCAGGCCAAGGTTTTCTCACTTCCTGGGGATATTTTCCTGACCTGTCTTCTCCCCACAAGGTTTTGAGTTGTTCCATCTCTATTGATCTGAGCCATTTGCTCCAGAAACAAGGCGGCTGCTCCCGAGCTCAGCAGTCAATGCCACCACCTCTAATTGCTCGGGGTGTTCACCAGCACGGGTGGTGGGTCACGCCCGCTCCAGTTCCCGTGTATTTTCTGGAAGCCACGCTGATCACCACAGGGTGTGAGCCACCAGCACTGCAAATTCCAGCAATTTGGCTCCAACTGAAAGAAACGCATCAATTTGGATGTGGATGTTGCCAGCTCCAGCCCCGGTGTCTCAGCCAAAATGGAAACTGTTCCAACCCCCACTGCCGAGCTCTCAAGAACTGGGGGGGGGGGGGGCAAGGCCTCCGAGGAAGGAAGATTCATAACCAGGGAGGGAGGGAAAGAGATGCTCTGTGCAGCAACACTCACTTCTGCAATGGCAAATCTGTCCAGCATGGTTCAGATTCTGCAGAACATCCAACAACTGGCATCTGACAGCTTCAGACTCTTCCCAGCTCTCATTCTGGGAACAGACCATGCTGATACCAATTATTTTAAACTGGGATTTGCATCTTTCCCATGTGATTCTACTTCTGAAGTGCTGCACTACTGAGGAGAGGTCTGCAACTGCCAAGACATGAAAGAGTGTTTGTTATTAACACATCACTATATAATTAGGGGCTTAGCAGGGGGCTGGCCATTCACATGCTTTTTGCTCTGTTGCTGACAGCACAAGATGGAAGTCTCCAGGTATCCCGTTAGGTGACAAGTGAAAATGAGTTCTGCGGCCAAAACGAGGCAATTTGGCACAATTTACTAGAGATGGCATTTTCTGCTCAAAAAGGGCCCAGAATTGGAACAGCACGAGGTGTTACAGACCAAGACTGAGCTGTGCTGGCCAAGCTGAGTGGGTGTCTCACGGAGCAGAGCAGCAGTGGATGCTGAAGTCCAGGATTGAGATCTGCTGGCAGAGCTCGAATGGGGAATGTTGCCCAGTTTCTGAAAACAACACAGAGTCTGTATTTTAATTAGAGTTCCTCTGCTCATCTGCATGGCTCAGCACAAACTTTCTGAATTTTCCAGGCTTTCTGCATCCATCCAAAGAGCCAACCTTGCACTTTTTCCTCCTCGTCCCCCAGTGAAGCCTCACCAATAGTGACCACCCACCCCAATGTGTTCTCCTGCTGGCTCCCAAGAAATGTCACAGGTACACACCCATTCCATGGACATGGACTGATGTATGAGTCCGTAAAGAGTTCCAACTGGGATTAAATGAGGCCTGTGATCAAAGGCAGGGATTTCAGGAAGCAGTGTGATAGCAGGGAAGGTGTGATGACACACAGATGAGTGAGCTGGACACACAAAACCGGAATAACTGACTCCAGGACTCCTGGGAAAGGCAGACAGAAGGGCTGATACGATGGGAGTGCTGGACAGACCATGCAAATCCTGCCCTGGGTGCTGCCCAGTGTTTATCAGCTCTGGTTAAAGATTCCATCCCAGGCACTACGGATACGCATGACCGGTCCCAGCAACAATAAAGGAATTCATGGTTTGGAAAAGCTCCTCCCCATCCCACATTGTGCACAGGCCCACAGCTTAACTGGCCAAAGTAGGTCAGAGGGAACGAGTTCATTTGCGTATGTAAATTCAACTTAACAAGGAATAAAGACAATTGCTTCAAACTTGTGAGCTCAAAGTAAGAAAAACAGGTCTTCAGGGCTCCTTGGGAATTGGAAGCTTTGGCTTTCAGCCCTCCCTGCTCTTTCCTCCCCTTGCCCACCCTCAGTCCCTTTCCTCTTGCCTCCTGCCTAATAAGGGTCTGGCAAACCCCCGTTTCTCCAAGCCAAGCCCGTGGTCACAAACTGGGTGAGGTCAAAAGCTCACACACAAAGGACTATCAGCCCTGAGCGGCTGTGAGAACAGGTGCCATGTATGCAGCTCTCCATAGCTATTCTTCAAACAGGCAAGGGAACACAGCTTTTGTCTGCTTCCTGCAGAAAAAGTCTTTCCACTTTTCTTCTTTTTTTGCTAAAGGGAACAAGTTCCATTTCCAATAACTGAAGACTGATTAAAACCATTGTCCCCCTACCACCCCCCAGTCACAAGCAGCTCAAACCACGAAAGAGCATCAAGAAAAAGATTTCCTATACAAAGGACTTCATAAAACCAGGAGAAAGAAACAAGTGGAAACTGTCGGCATTGTTTTAACTCTTTCCATTCTAAAAATCCCATAACTCTTACCTCTCTCTTCCCATGCTTTTAATACAAGTATTCCAGTGAAAACTCTTGGAAGTCAGTGTGTCACATCTTTGAAATGACCCAGAAGGAACGAGCTTGCTATTTCCACAATTAAACAGGTATTTAATTAATACCTTTTATTCGGCCTGAGTCAACCCCTATGAATCCAAAAGCCCTGTGTCCCTCTCCGTTACCTCAAACTAAAATTCACTGGGCACCAGGTGGCTCAAGGGAAGGAAACAAGGAGCCTGAGTTCAGTTCTCAGTTGACAGTTTCACCTCTAATTTGGCTGTTTGAGGCCAAATTTAAACTAGATCTCCATTGGCTTAAAAATAAACGTCAACCAAGAAATGGCTGTTTAGCTCTCTAGCTGAACAAGTTCTCTGAGGGAACTTGTGTTTTTCAAATCCTTTTAGTTTTGCTGGCAGATTGTAAAATGAATCTTTCAATTACCTTTGCAGCCTCATTCGAGTCCACTGCAGAACTGTTCATGGAGGATGAACTCCAGCAGTTTATGGAGACCAAACAGAGGCGGCTCCTCCTGAGCAGTTTCAATTTCGTTGATGTGGAATCTGTACCTGTTGTAAAAAAAGACAACTTTAGTCTTCAGGGCAGCAACTGCATTAGCATCAGGTGACAAACTAATCACCCCAAAATGGAAGCATGGCTGAATTCCCCAAAGTGCTGCTGTGTCAGAATATGTGCTGCCAAACCCTCTGCCAACACAGGACTAATAACGGGGTCCCCAAGCGGTGCCAACGCTCTGGGTCGCGGCTGCCCCGTGGGCACGTCTAATTATGATGTTCTGTGACAAGGCTATAAATATCCACAGTCCCACAGGGGAAGCCCTGATTGCAGCAGGGTTTTTGGGCAGGTATTTGCTCTGTTCTCACACTGCCTGCCTGGAGTGGAGGGCTGTTTGTAACAGCAAGAGCCTCATAGGCCTGTGCCCCAGGGAGTGTGAGTGTGGAACCAGCGAGGTTTCATAACGAGAGAGATCAAACATCAGCCAGAAAACCACCGAAGGGGAAACCATTAAATTTGTTCAAATGAAAAAGCTACTGACAAAACCCAAAGACCACCTGAGCAAAGGAAAAGGAGGGGTTACATACTGACAGAGCAGCTCTGGAGGGCTGAACATGGTCTGAGAGACAGAGATGATCCCTTTGTCATGAGACACTTCACCAGGAAGTTATTTGAGGATAAAGAGCTGTTCGAGGGATTCCTTGAAGAACAGGGAAAGCAGAAAGGCCTCTAGTTTGTTTTCAGCATTTTGTTCTTAAAGATCATTACATTGTGATGCTTTAGGCTTTTAAACCAGTGAGTGCCCAAGATCACTGTTCACTATCCACTGCCAGGTCTCACTCTCTCCTTTCCCAGCAGTTCTAGCTCCCATCATCCCCCTGTCCCGACAATTCTACCTCCTTGGTGCTCCGAGGAGCAACTTCAGAGGAACAGAATAAATAAATAAATAAATAAATAAATAAATAAATAAATAAATGAGAAAGTCCTTTATGCCAATGACCAGTAAGAAATGGAACCTGTTGGGCAGCCAAATGAGCCCGGAGGGCCAGTCATGAATTTATGATAATGGCTGCTGGCTGAACACCAATCCCTGAATCCTAAATAGTGGGAAAAAAATCAACAAAAAAAGCGCCTTCTGCTATCCCATCTCCTTTACTGTTTGCTTTGTCAGACTCTGAGGAGGTGACAATCACTCACAACACAGAACTGAATAAGAAAATTATCGGCTGCCTCAGCCAACGCACTGTGGCGCAGAGTTGTCAAACTCTTGCAAATTTTGTCGTAAGTCTCCGAGCGAACGTTTCTGGGATTTCTAAAGCAGCCCAGAAAAACTCCCTTTCATTGAAAAGGGAAACCTCTCTTTTTCCTCACGACAGCACCTCTGTGCAGGATGGACCAGACATCAAGGAGCGCTCACAGCCCCTGCTCCCAGCGCAGACGGCCTCGGGGCTGGGGGCAGGTCTGAGGAGGGCAAAAAACCCTGGAGAAGGCGCGGAACAGGATGAAAACAGATGCTGCCAGGGTTGGTGCTTAGCTTCAGCCAGCGTTTGGTTTGTTGGACACAGGATATTAGAGAGCCCTTGGTGTGAGGCAGAGGAGCTGGGGAACCACAGCCACGGGCACTGCGCTGCTTGGGCAGCGTGGAAATTCAACACAGACCCACAGGCGTGTTGGGAAACAAGGAACTGAGAAAAGGGGCACCGTGAGGAGGAAACCAGGGCACGGGAGGTGGCACCAGGTACAGGTGCAGGTGCGATGCCCAGCCACGCTTCAGCTCAGCGCTGCTGAGGGCCCTGGCACCGTGGCAGCACTCACTGCGGGCTCCTCGCCTCGGCTCCCCCCGGCCCGGCCCATCGCCGGGGGCCGCAGCCCGGCCGTACTCTGAGGGAGCCTCTGCCTCGCCATTCCCCCTCATGACGCGCCGCCCGCGCTGCCCCCGTACTGAGCTACGCCGGTGGCGCAGCCGGCCCGCCGGGCCATACGCGAGTGGCGCGGCGGGAGCGCCATTCCCGTCCGGGGATACGCAGGCGGAGCGGCGGGAGCGCCATTCCCGTCCGGGCATACGCAGGCGGCGCAGGCGGCCGCGATCCCGCAGCGGGTTCCGCCAGCCGGCGGCCGGCGGGGGCGGGGCGCTCCGGAGGCGGCGCAAGGAGGCCCCCGCCGGCGGGGCCCGCCTCAGCCGCGGCGGGGGAGCGGGCGGAGCGGAGCGAGGCGATGTGGCAGCGCTCGGTGTGCGTGGGCCTGCTGGCCCTGGCGCTGGGCTACCTGTGCGTGCTGGGCCCCGAGCTGCCCCCCGCGGCCCTGCGGCAGCTCTCGGCCTCGCTGCTGGGGACGCTGCGCCGCGCCCGCTCGCTGGAGGCGCGCACGGTGGCGGCCTGGCAGGCGGCCATTGTCCGCCCCGCGCGCGGCTGGGCGCGCGTCGCCGTCGGGTAGGTGCGGGAGCGCGCGGGGAGCGCCCCCAGCGGGGCGGGAGGGGCGGCCCCGGGCCCCGCGCCCCGCGGGGTGGATGTGCGTGGGGGGGTGGGGGGTGTGGGTGCGGATTTGTGCGTGGGGAGGGATGTGTCGGGGCCTCGGCACGGGTAGGGATGTACCTGGGGTGTATCTGCCTCCTCAGGTGAGACCCCAACTGAAGAGTTGCCTCCAGCTCTGGGGAACAACAGCAGACGAATGTGGAGCTGCTGGAGAGAGTCCAGAGGAGGCCACAGAGCTGTTCCGAGGGCTGGAGCCCCTCTGCTCTGGAGCCAGGCTGGGAGAGCTGGGGTTGTTCAGCTGGAGATGAGAAGCTCCAGGGAGACCTGAGAGCCCCTTCCAGTGCCTAAAGGGGCTCCAGGAGAGCTGGAGAGGGACTGGGGATAAGGGCCTGGAGGGACAGGCCAAGGGGGAATGGCTTCCCACTGCCAGAGGGCAGGATTAGATGGGATACTGGGAAGGAATTATTGGCTGTGAGGGTGGAGAGGCCCTGGCACAGGTTGCCCAGAGAAGCCGTGGCTGCCCCATCCTTGGAAGTGTTGAAGGCCAGGATGGACGGGGCTTGGAGCAACCTGGGATAGTGGAAGGTGTCCCTGCCCATGGCCAGGGGTGGAATGAGATGAGCTTTAAGGACACTTTCCAACCCAAACCATTCCATGATTTACTCAAGAGTGCAGCTCCTCCCCACAGCACTCCTCGGTCAGACCTCAGCTGAGGGGAGGAATGACCCAGAACACCCCTGTGCTGGTGATTTCAGGGTGCTGTGGGGTTCAGGCCCTGTTGGCAGCCTGTCTCCAGAGATCTTGTCGCCTGTAAAACAAATTTACATCCAGAGTCTGAGGGACTTGGAACTTCTGGCTCATCTGGTTGAGGGTGGCAATGAATAAGTACCAGAGGCAAGTTTATAAAGTGGAGAAGGGAGGGAAGGGAAGGGAAGGAAGAGGACCTTAAAGGCACCTGTGCATGGCCGGGGAAATCCAACACCCTTCCTCTTTTTAAAGTGGAAAGGAAAGAAGGGGAAAGTTCAGGAATATCACATTGACTTCAAATGCTGGTTTTAAATCTGACCATTAATCTGGACGTTGCATAGAGCACTTCACTCACTTCCTTTTAAATATAAAGACATGGCAGGATAACGACTTTGACTGGAAGATTCGGCCTTGGGGTGTGGAGCTGTGAGCTGGCAGAGGAATGTGACTTGGTTCTTTGGATCTTTAACGATTCATTAAAACATAAAATTGGGGCCAAAAGGCTGCTTGAGCTTGTCATTTCTTTTCCCTGCTGTGCAAGGGTATTTCTCTCTCCTCAGTGCAGGAGATGATGCACATCCAGAGGATTTCTGGGCTGGTTATCTTGTGGACTGGAAAGCCTCAGGGCTTTTCGTGTCCTTTATTTTGTGTGATGCAGTTTTCACGTGTTGTGGCCCCAGTGTCCCCTTGAGAGGGCCCTGCCAAGGAGGAGTGCTGGTGCTGGGCACTCCACTCTGCCCTGGATTAGGAACTGGCCTTGGGAGTGTGGGGGGAGATGCAGAGAAAGTCAGAGATCCTGCAGGATTTTTATAGATGGTTTGTATCCCTGTCAGGGAAGTGTGGGGCAAAGGAATAGAAATGGCACTTCACAGCAGGTCCACAAGATGCTTAAATAATTGCTGGTTTTGTCTCAGGAAGTATTTGGTATATGCTGGTATCTCTCTGAAATCACGGGGTGAAATGAGGGCATTGTTCACAAATTGTCTTCCTGGGGGCCTGGTCCCAGGCAGAACTTTCCTGTTCTCTGGTTTGAACTAGACTGTGATTAAATTGATGTAATTGATAAGAAATAGGGACTGGAAGTTAGACAGGTTTTCCATAAAGCCTGGACCTGCTGAAATGGTTCTTTTCCCTCCCTAATTATTGCAGGATTTTTCTCCTGCTTTCACTGCATGCTATTTCTGGAAGCTAGGGATCATCCTTTAGAAATCGCAGTTTTCAAATATTTCAACTGACAAATTGCTCTCTTGACTTCTTATAAACAGAACCAGCCTGTGTGAGGAGTTTGTGTGTGGGTTTGGGTATTATTAGGAGCAGCCGAAACTCAAGAGGCTGGTCTAGCTGGCTTAAATACTTTCAGTTTTGCTTTTAACAGTTTTGAATTGCATGCACATTTTAAATCCAAAAGATACATATATTTTTAAAAGCTGCTAAGAATTAAAAATTAATTATTTGCTTATTGTGCTCATTCTTTTTTTGAGTGAGTCTAAGGCAGCAAATGAAGCAAACCTATATTGTAACCTACTCAACCACCTTAGGACCACAGAGCCCACTCTTCCTTGTTTTAATTCAGCAGAAAGTTAGAAATCCCCCTCTCCTCTACAGTGCAGTAAAGGCAAGTCAAAGGGAGAAGGCTTTAGGAGAGAATTTCAGGGGATTCCTGTGCCTTTGTGAGGGTTTATTTCCATTTGGTTGGTTGTTCTCCCCCTGAACAGCCATCCCTGCCTGGGCCATGATCTCACTGTGCTGTCTCACAGGTTCAGGACCATCAGAGTATTCTCAGTTGGAAGGGACCCACAAGGATCATCGAGCCCAGCTCTTTAGTGAATGGTCTCTACAGGGATCAAACCCATGACCTTGGCACGATCACCACCATGCTGTGACCAGCTGAGCTAACCCCAGTTCCCTCAGCTCCGTGTGGTTTCCCCAGGACGCCTTTTCCTTGTCTCTTGCAGTGTCAATGCCTGTGTGGATGTGGTGCTGTCCGGCGTGAAGCTGCTGGAGGCGCTGGGTCTGGAACCAGCCGATGGGAAGGACCACGCGGTGCTGAGCTCCGGGCAGGACCTGGGCGAGGCCTTCAGCCACTTCATGCGGCGAGGGGCGGCCGCCGAGCGGTTCTTCAGCGACGCCGCGGCGTTCCAGGACATCGCGCGGACGGCCTCGGAGCACCCAGCGGCACAGGTGGGGCTGCACCAGCACAGCGTGGGCAAGCGTGGTTCGTTCTTACTGACCACCAGGGACTTCCATTTTCCCTCTAGGGAGACAGCAAGTCCTTTGGGAAGGGAACTTGAGGTGTAGCTTGAGCGTGTGAATGATTTTCCACGGGGTTCTGCCCCTGCTGCAAACAAGAGGGGTTTAAATGGGTCTCTCCCCTGCTGACATTCCCAAAGTGAAATGTCAAAGTTGCCTCTTTAAGAATATTGTTACATGGGAGCCAGATGGGGCTGAGGCTGTAACAGTGGCTCTAACATCCTGGATGAGGCAGGGAGCAAGGAATCACCTGATTCTTAGCTGGATCCTTCCATGGCCTGTTTTCTGCCAGAGAATCTCAGAATGGTTTGGGTTGGAAGGGACCTTGAAGCTCATCTGGTTCCACCTCTTGCCACAGGCAGGGACACCTTCCACTATCCCAGGTTGCTCCAAGCCCCGTCCATCCTGGCCTTGGACACTTCCAGGGATGGGGCAGCCACAGCTTCTCTGGCCAACCTGTGCCAGGGCCTCTCCACCCTCACAGCCAACAATTCCTTCCCAATGTCCCATCTAATCCTGCCCTCCAACAGTGGGAAACCATTCCCCCTTGGCCTGTCCCTCCAGGCCCTTATCCCCAGTCCCTCTCCAGCTCTCCTGGAGCCCCTTTAGGCTCTGGAAGGGGCTCTCAGGTCTCCCTGGAGCTTCTCTTCTCCAGCTGAACACCCCCAGCTCTCCCAGCCTGGCTCCAGAGCAGAGGGGCTCCAGCCCTCGGAGCAGCTCCGTGGCCTCCTCTGAGTGTCCGTGACCCTCGTGACAATCCACATTCATTGATTTCAAAGCTCACATCAGTTTTCTCACTGGGAAGTTTGACCTTTCTTACCCGAAGAAAGGTAAGAAGGTTCCTCTCACTCCACATGGGCACAGGGACCAGGATTCACCTCAACCTCTGACTGAAGGAAGAGCTGTTGCAGTTTTTAAACAGTTGCTTGGCAGCCTTGCTAAAAACCCACGGGTCACCCACGGCCACGGAGGAGCTGCACAGGAGTGAGGGCCCTTTATGTGCTGAATGAGTTGATTCCTTCAGCGCTGTTAATGTTAGGAATGAATTGATTTCTATATGGTCATTACCTGTTGGCAAATATTTAGATTTAACAAAAAGAGAATACTCAACTTGTTGAGATTCTCACAGAGAACTGCAAAGTTGTTCTGCCTTCAGCCCCAGTAAGCTTTAATAACTTGGGTACTGCTGGACTGTGTTCTGAAAACCCAGAATCTCCAGCCTGTGCTGAGGACCGAACATGTATGAAGGTCCCACAGCAAGGGGACCCACACCCTGCTCTGTTTGTTTCACAGCTCTACGTGGGAGGAAATGCTGCTCTCATCGGGCAGAAGCTCGCCACGAATCCAGACCTGAAGGTACACGCACACTCCAAAGGTTTCATGCTGTTTGCTTGTCTCAAGCAAATTACTTCCCTGTAGATTTTGGGGATCTGGCAGTTATTTCTTGGGTTATGGTGGAACATATGGTTGGCCTTCCAAGTTGAAAACACAGCTGATTTTTAAAAATTGAATTACTAACTTTTTTAAAATTGTCTAGGTGATGCTTACATTTTGGCAAGGGACATGGCAGGGAAACCTGGGTTATTTTTCCCTGTTTTCTAGATCCTCCTTTGTGGCCCAGTTGGCCCCAGACTCCATGAACTGCTCGATGACAACGTAGTTGTGCCACCTGAATCCATGCAGGAAAGAGATGAATTCCATCTTATCTTGGAGTATCAAGCAGGTACCTTCCCAAAGGTGGAGTGTTAGATGGGAACCCCAAACATCACTGGGGTTGATGCACAGCCCTGATGGGTGTCATTCTAAAGCTGCACAAACACCAAAATGGTCCCTGAAAACACAAAGGGACCATTTAACCACGTGCAGATGAAACTCAGAGTAACCCTCGTGTAGTGCTGAAACAAATGCATGTGTTCTCCTGCTGCTGCTGGAGCCCATTTAACTTGTGATCTCACCCAGGAATACGACAGTTTCCACCCCCTTGCCTCTGTTTGCTCCACCCCAGGTGAGGAGTGGGGCCACGTGAGAGCACCCACTGCCAACCGCTTCATCTTCTCCCACGACCTTTCCAACGGTGCCCTCAACATGCTGGAAGTGTTTGTGTCCAGCCTGGATGAATTCCAGCCGGACCTTGTGGTGCTTTCAGGACTCCACATGATGGAAGGGCAGAGCAAGGAGGCGCGACAGAGACGGCTGATGGAGGTGAGAGATGGGAACACCTGAGTGTTTTCCAGCAAGTGCTTCGTGGCAAGGCCTTGTTTTCCCGGGTTGGAAGGTGTAGGTGGGCTGTGCCTTCGGCTCTCCCACAAATCCCAGTGTTGCCTGCTAAAAGGAGACTGGGAATGGCAGGAATGGCAAAGGTCTAGTTCTGTAACACTGACTTTCCTTACATTCAGTGGGTTGTCAAGAAGAAGGAGGGCTGGTTGCCTGGCTGGAGAGCACTGACCTGGTTACTGGGCTTGTCTGGTGGCTAAATCACACCTTTTCTATCCCAGATACCGAGATTATCCAGGTTATAATCAACACTGGTGTTTCCTAAGCAGCATCTGTCTTACACCACCTGTTTTACAGCTGAGTTCTGGTCCTGATGTAAGGCACTGGCCTTTTTTTGTGTTCTAGGATCAACTGTTCTACAGTTCCTTCAGATTTATGAGGTCTTGGAATTAGTCCATTAGAAAAGGTGCTGAGCTGGGTGCAGATTAGGATTGGATACAGTTTTCCTGCTTTGGTATTCTGAAAACCAGCAGTTGTTTTTATTTCCTCCCTTAGCGGTACATCCACTGGTCAGACTCTCATTTGGAATTGTGTTTAAATCCATGCACAGGAAGATTATAGTATGTTATCTCAAGTCAAACCCCTTTTTCTCCTCCTGTTTCTTAATAAGTACATGTTTTAGGTTTGGGGTTTTTTTATTTTCCTGTAGGCTGTGGCCTCCATCTCCGATATCCCGACTGACATTCCCATTCACCTGGAGCTGGCCAGTATGACGGATCAGGATTTTATGAGCAACATTATGCATCAGGTAAGGAAAATGAAAGGGCATGCTGGTTTTGTCAGGTTCAGTATCACAGTGCACAGACTGGTATATGAATACAGAAATGAAAACTTAGGATTAGGACTATCCATTCAAAGATTGAATCTGAGCTGAGTTTATAATTTAAAAAACCCCTCGATTTCTTTGCAGAATTTCTTTCCTGCAGATCCTGGTGGTGCCTTGTTTATCCTGCCACAGATGTGATCTCAGTGTTAGGAGTGTTTCATATGAAGTTGATGTTTTGTTACTCTTGTCAAAGTGGGTGTCTAGAAAATTAATTGCACCAAATGGAATGTTTCCTTGGCCCAGTAATTCTTGCCAACTTGGAGAAGTGCAGTGACTTGGGCTGCATCTCTCTGGGAAACTGGGTGCTGAGCACACCGGGATACTGTAACACCCACACCCCGAAGGAGGAATCCCAAATCCCACTGTCCCTGTGAAGGCAAACCCGTGGTTCCCGTGTTTCTGTTAGCAGGTCTTTCCCCTGGTGAACTCCATCGGGCTGAACGAGCAGGAGCTGCTGTTCCTCACCCAGGCTGCCTCCGGCCCCCACGCCTCCCTGGGCTCCTGGAGCGGGATTCCCGACGTGGGGGTGGTCAGCGACATCCTCTTCTGGATCCTGAAGGAGCACGGGAGGGCGGCGGAGCGGGCGTCCGACCTCACGCGGATCCACTTCCACACCCTGGCCTACCACATCCTGGCCACCGTGGACGGGCACTGGGGCAACCAGGCGGCGGCAGTGGCGGCCGGGGCCAGGGCTGCCGGCACCCAGGCCTGCGCCACCGACACCATCGACACCAGCAGGGTCCTGCTCAAGGCCCCCCGCGAGTTCCTCACCTCCCACACGGAGGCTCCTGCCAAGATCTCCCTGAACCCGGACGAGCCCGTGGTGCACTGGCACAGGGAAGGCATCTCCTTCCACTTCTCCCCCGTGCTGGTGTGCAAGGACCCCGTGCGGACCGTGGGGCTGGGGGACGCCATCTCAGCCGAGGGACTGCTCTACTCCGAGGCGTATCCGCAGTAGGACACCGGGAGCTTCTCCTTCTGCGGCGCTGCACGGCGGCCGAGACCCGTGGGTTGGGGTTTGAGGCAGTGGTGGCATAGGAACAGAATCAGGGTGTGGTGTGTTTGCCGGGTATAACTGAAAAAGAGCCAAAGAATAATTCCAGGTATAAACTGTTGGCACATTCCGGTCACTGGGCAGTGACTCGAACACTTCACATGCGGGTGCAGATGTTTCAGTATTTAATGTGAAAATTGGCTTTGTCCTGAGCAGGGGGGAGGGACACAAAGACCAAAATCCCTGGCTGGTGCAGGTTTGCTGTACGTAGCTCAGAATGGATCTTGTCAGGTAGTGCTGGGAAGTGCAGCAGGAGAACTCCCTGCCTGTGGATCCCAGGGAGAGCACAGCAGTGCCAGGCCCTGCCTTGCCTCTGGTAAATTCCAAATAAAAGGCTTGTGGCTTATCTCCTCCCAGCAAACCTTCCCTTGCCTGGGGTGGTGGTGGAATTCTTGCCTGGTGAAATCACCTCTTGGTGTCCCCAGAGGGAGCCAGGGTCCCAAAATGTGATGCAGACTGTACCTACTGCAGGCTGTGCAGGTGATGCTGGCTATCTGTGACTAAAGGTGTTCAACTGAGCCCCAGCAGCCTGTGCTTAGCTTTTGGGAAAGTGGGAGTGAAGATAATCGGGGCTCTGCTTCCCTGCCAGGTGTTCCCCAAACCGTTACCTGTGTTTGCTGTACACTAAATACCTTCTCTGCTGACAGCAGGGGCTTCCAGCTGATGTTACAGAAATGCTCTTGAGTGCTGGAGACTCAGTTTTGGTGGTTTGGGAATGGTTGTGCCAAATTCTACAGTCTTCCTGCTCTCCATTCAGAAGGGTTCATATATTAGGGAAGGTCCCTCTGGAAGCTCAGAAGCTGTAACAGCATTCTCCAGGTAAGACTGAAGTGAGGAGGCCTTTTTAGGGTTTGATGTTGGAGGTTTTTTGACTAGGTCACCAATAGTTTCTTTGCTGGCCTTTGAAATTAAAAAAGCAGAACCCTGTGTCCTTGTTAAATACTCCTGTTTTTTACCTGTTCACAGTCACACACCACGAACTGCAGAGCACCAGCCTGGGTTTTGTGTCTGTTTTCCAGCATGGTTTGTCTCTGGCCCCTTCAGGTGTCTCTGCGTAGCTCCCACAGCCATTTCTCAGTAGAAGTGGATTAAATGCCATCAGCGTGTCTGGGCAAGCCTGGGCCTCACAAGAGTGTGTAGGAGGTCGTTTAAGGTCAGTCTTTGTGTCTGAATGGAGGGGAGGAGAGTCTGTCACTCAGGGTGGAGTGATCTGTTTCAGTAACAGTCATGCTGCTGTCAGGGATGTTCTCCTGTTGGAAAATCCATCCTGAATGCTCTGCAAGGATAAAAATTGGCAGCTGTTGTACTTGCACTGACTCAGCACACAATGCTGGCTGTCAGTGTGTATTCAGCTTTCCCTCTGAGCAAAGTCTGTGTTGTACAGAGCAGAAACAGTCACTGCTGGGTTTTCCTGCAGCTCATCCCATCCTGGGTTTCCTTCACTCTCAGCATTTTATCTTGGTGTGGGATCTTCTTAAGACTGGAAGTATTTCTATCCAGATTATTATTTCTTTTATTATTGATTAACTGTAGCACAGGACTTAGAGTTCTGGTTTAGTCTTCCTAAAGGAAAAATAAATTAAAAAACCTCTCAGCTGTCTGAGAGGTCCAAGGCTATTAGCAGGGTTGTTTTGCAGCCTCTCATGATGGCCAGGGCCACCAAAGGCCATGGATCTGCCAGCTGGAGAACTGATCCTTCCTGGGTCCCACTTTCCTGACACTGAGCCAAGCTGTGGATTCTCAGGTTGGAAACAGAACAAAACTAAACACAAGCTGTCACCAGCAATGGCCCTGCTGCTGTATTTCACTTCTCTCTTCCAAAAACACTTCCAGGGATGTGAGGCTGATTGGACTGGCATTCCCTGTGGCCACTTTAAACCACGGGGCTGCACTTACAGACCTTGTCCAAGGGCAAAGTTGTGCTTGTACTGAACAGGAATGTGACAGGCCCAAAGTATCTCTGGTTTTAAGCTACTTTGGATAAATAATTGGTGTAAACAATTATAAAAAAGCGGGTTATTGCTTAGAAATCACCTGGGCCTTAAAGCTAAACTCATTATAGTTAGCTCCTCCTTCCTGCTGTTCTGTTCTTTCCCACCAGGTAACATTTCTCCCGTGGGTGCCCTGGGAGTGGCTGGCACTGTGAGTCACACCTCAAATGCAGCAGCTCGTGATGGCCAGGCTGCTGCTCCTTCCAGATGTGTTTTAGCAGGCACATAAAGCTCACCTGCCACCAAATGCACTTCCCAAGGATCATCCTTAAGCAGCTGTGCTGGTGGGATCCAGGATTCAGTTCTGAAACAGTCTATATGGTAATAAATGTGAATTTATGGATGGAGGGGCCCAGCAGCCTTCCCTTCATGTTCCACATGCTGTGAACATGATGCACCTAACTTCCCTCTGCCTTCCCAAGGGAATGACAGGGTGGCAGAGCTCCTGAAATCCTTCCCCTGCCTGTGCAGTCTCACACCCCTGCACAGCTTCAGTAGTGACAGCACAGAAAAGCTGCTCTAAAAGCGGCAAAAATACCAAAGCTTCAAAGCCAGGCTTGAAGTGGCTCTGCTGCCCCTGATCCTCTCTGTCTCTACAAATTCTGTTGGTTCTCCTGTGTTTCTCACACCTGGAAATCCACAGTGCAGGAGGACTCAAACCTCAGCCAACCTCCCACTCCCAAACAGGAGTTTCCACTGGAAATATTTATTCACACACACGTGGCTGGAGGTGCAGCAGCTGAGCTTCAGCATGGTGACACCTCTCCATGGCAAAACCTGTGCACTTGGGTATTTCCATCTGTGTCCCTGCAGCCACCTTGGGTTGGGTTATTTTGTCTTATCCAGGATCCAGAATGAACATTGTTCCCATCTTTTCTGTGCCTGTCCCTTCCTGCAGGTCAGGTGGTGGGTTATTTGAGAGGTGTGAATCACAGGAGGCTGGCAGAGTCCCAAAGGACACTTCGCTGTGCCCTTGGTGCTCTCCATGGAAAAACCAATCCCAAATCCAACTCTTCCCACTTTTAAAGACTCTTCACCGTTTTTTTCCCCCTCTTCAGGAGAGTTTCACAACATGCTAAGGAATTACTTGATTTTCTGTTTTTACTTCTGTGTTTCCTGGTTATCTCCTGTTGGGATAGGTGAGATCCAGTTAGGTTTGCTCTTCCCTCCCAAATTCCTTTTTACAGAACTGGTGCTGAAAAGTTCCTTCTGAGCCTTTAGCAAAGACCTCAGCAGCTGCTCTGCCCCTGTTAGATGTTGCCTTACAGCTCAGCTCCACTCCTCAGCCACTGGAATCCAAAGCCTGGACAGCAACAGAGCACTAGATCCACTCCAAAACCCCGTGGCAAACCCTCAGCACTTGTGCTTGGCTTTCTTTTTTTTACTATTTATTGTGTAAGGATATGCTGAGTTATCAGGAATTATGTGCCACGGGTGACCTTTCCAGCCACATCCTGAGAAAAGAGTTGAACAGTGGGACAGTTTTGTGAGACTGGTACAACAGAACTCGATTTCCCGTTACCCTAAAAGTTGGTTTGGGCTCTTTTTGGCACTTGCAGCTTGGGTAAATTAGGGAGATAAGCTCAGGAGAGCTGAGGGTTGGGAGTGAGTGACCAGCTCAGGTGTGTCTCTGTGCTAATATTTGGCACTGGGCGCTGCCTCACGTGTGCAGAGCAGCTCCTGTCACACAGCGTGCTGCCTTGCTATTCCTGGGCTAAGGAAACTCATCAACTTTTCGGGAAAACAGGAGGAGAACCAGACAAATAGTGGGTCTGATTAAAGTCTGCAGTAAAACTTGGATCTCGGAGCCAGGAATGCGAGTCCTGGCTGCCCAGAGACATCAGACAAAGCTCTCCTCCCTAACAGATGGAGCAGTTCCTTGTGTAATCTCTCAGGTGGATCCAGGCTGAATTCTCAGGGAGTTTCTGATCCAGACTGGTGGGAGGATGTTCCCTCAGCAAAGGGAATGCTGCAGGTTGGAAATGGCACACGTGGCCATTCCCGTCTCTGCCGGGAGCTCGGGAAGTCGTCTGTTCCCAACAGCCTGGGATCAGCTCCCACAGCAGCTGAGGGACACAAATCCTGGCAGGAATTGTGAAATACAAGTGGGGGCAATGAAAAAAATACTCAGAAAACCTCCCCTGTGACTTTCTCAGGAAAGCTGCTCCTTGGAGCAGCCTGGGAAAAACCGGGTTCAGAGCTCACCTGGATCTTCCATTAAAAGCACGGATTTTTTTGGAGCAGTTTGGTTTGAGAGAGTGGTAAAGCTTTCCTTGTAGTAGAACTGGACTTTATCTTCCAGAAAAGTCTTGGCAGATGAAGTACTTGCTGCAACACATGCTCCTTCTGAGTACATTTATGTGTGGAGCTTATTATTTTAGCTCACTGAGCACTGGTCCCTGTCTGTCTCTGCAGAGGAGGCTTTGCCAACTGAAACCCACTTCCCAACTGGGAAATCTCAATTTTTAACATCTTAAAGACCCCTGTGTCCACCTGGCTCAGGCACAACTGAGCAAACACATACAGGAGCATGGCAGGTATCCACTAATCCTGCCTGTGCCATAAATCAGCATCCAGTTGTCTCAGGGACCTCAAAATCAGATTTTTTGGGGTTGAACATACATTGCTGGATGGATAAATTATTACTCTTGGCAGAAACAAGGTCTTGCTGCCCAGGCATTTATGTTTGAGTGTCTTGGAGTCTGTTTTCTGTGCAGAAGCCAAGCTGCAGAGAACCTTGTGAGCTCTGTGATTTACCCTGGCTCATCACAGACATTTTCCTAAAAAGGGCAAGAAAAGTCCTAAAGCAGATGGTTTCTACTTCCCTAGAAATTAAGCTCATTATTGTTTTCCATCTTAAAATTTCCATTACGGGGGGAAAAGAGAAGATTAGAATTATGGCTGATGCCAGAAACAGGTTTTGGAGCATAAGGTGTGATTTCCAAAATCCCTAAATGCCTCAGTGCAGTCCTGCTGAAGAGTCCCTTGCTTAATTCCAGCTGAATGAACAGTCCAGCCTCGTTACCATTAGCACAAAAAAGCTCTCCAGAAAGATCAGATCCTAGGAATTTACTGTGTGCAAATGCCATCATCACCAGAGCCAGGGGAGGAGAGGGGACTGGATGAGGAATTGCAGTTCTGTTTATTATCCAGCTGAAATTACATATTTAAAAATGCTTCCCAGGAAGTAGGAAGGTGCTACTGCTTTGTTTCATAGAAGGAGAATTGGTTCAATATCAGTGTAACCTCTTCACCAAAATACATATTTAAAATAAATCCCTTCACAGGTACCTTCAAATGCTGTATTGCTCCCCGGGTGACATTTACCCTATCAAAGCATCCTAGGACAAAAATCTGTCTTGAACTCAAGTTTTGGGGCTGAGGTGAAGAATTCCCAGCCCCTGCCCACCCCTGCTCTGCAATCCTGACCTCTTCCTCTCAGGCACTCTGTTACACTGCAGGAACTCCCAGTGTAAGAAGTTCAATGTGAATAAAAATGTCTGCACTCTACCTGATGTACCTGCTCCTTGTCTGGTTTGTTTCAATTTGCCAGTGCTCCACAAAATATCCTGTTTTCTTCAACAGGGAATCCTTACGGGAACGCTTCCCTGGATCTGTGCTGACAGAAAAACCCAGCAGAAAGAAGAGCTGGGGGGAGAAACAGCCACGTTTAAGATCAGCAGTTTGGGCCATCAAAACAGAGGGGAAAGGGAGGGTTCTTAACCTGCTGTTCTCCAGGGAGCAGGAGAGCACTTCAGCTCCTGGCTGGGCTCTAAAGATGCATTAATGTCGTTCTGGGTCACAGCAGCAAACACAAAGCACAGCTGAAGGATGGGGATGGCCTCAGAGCAGCTCGTGCTGCTTTTACACTGTTGCCTCAGAGAAGTTTCCATTACCAACCTTCCTCTCCTGGCCTGTTCATTATTGGAGGGATACAATCCAACAGCGCGGAACTAAAAGTAGGAAATACGTTTTCAAACAGCTGGGGAGCTCAACCGGCAAACAAAAAGAGCCCTGAAGGTTCAATTTACTGGTTCTTTGTGGAAAATCAGCTGCTCACCAGTTCAGCCACTGGAAGGGTGTGGTCCTCCTCGGGGTCCAGGATCCCAAGTCACTACTGCTGGCTTTGCTAAACGTACTGGATGCCTTGGGATCCTTCTAGAGGGCTCACACCCAACCTGTGGAGAGCTGGATCCCCATCCTGCAGTCTCTTGTGGTGCCCATACTAAGAGTAGCTACACACCAACCTCTTCTGATCACTGCAACGACTCGGGACAGAGCCACGTGCTAAAAATCACTGACACAAACAGCTGCATCCAGACAACTGCCAGTGGGGTGAAGGCCCGTGGGGCAGGGAGGAGCAGGGAGGAGCAGGTCCCTTTCCCAGGTGCCAGGCAGCCGGGGAGGTGCCCAGAGCCCGTCCTACTCCGGTCCCTGCTGGCTCCCGTGCTTCTCCTTGCCCTGCGCCGCGTCCCCTGCGGGTGCCGAGCTCTCCTCGGGGCTCGTTTCTGAGTCCTGGTCTGGTTCCAGAGGCAGGGAGGGAGGCTTTGCTGGCAGAGCTGGTGTTCCAGCACCTGGGGAGAGGACACAGGTAGAGTTACTCTACAGCTACACAAGTTGTGTCTATTCTTTCTGCCCTTCCCATCAGCACAGAGATGCAGAACAATCACAGCTATTCACTACTCTCAGATTCCTTCTGCCCAGCATTAGTTTATTGATAAGGAGTTATCCAGCCAGAGATCTGACAGCCCAAAGTCCTGCTGAAAGGAAGCTCAGGTACAGGATCTCACTCAGCTGCGAGAGGTCAGTACAAACTGAGGAATTAATTTATGCTTTGGAAGGGATAACAGCTCCCAAAATCACAGAATCCCAGAATGGTTTGGGTTGCAAAGACCTTAAAGCTCATCTCATTTCCCCCACTCTGCCATGGGCAGGGACACCTTCCACTATCCCACGTTGCTCCAAGCCCCATCCAACCTGGCCTTGGACACTCCAGGGATGGGGCAGCCACAGCTTCTCTGGCCAGCCTGTGCCAGGGCCTCCCCACCCTCACAGGGAAGTGCCACTTTCAGTTCCACTGAACCTGGTTTATGCTCAAACCCAAGTATCGTCTTCAGTTCACAGCTTTAGCAAATCTGGGGAGAGCCTCCACGTAGTTAAAGTAGCTACATACAGAATTAAATCAAAACAGGACAGAAGTGGTTTCTACACTTAAATTTAGGCTGACAACTTGTATTATGAACCAGCTCCCTTTTCTGATAAGGATAATAAAGTCCTTCAGGTAAACCCTAAGCTCCTAGAGTGTTTTACTTTTCAGATTTTCTGGCTAAGCCTTCCCTGCATGGTAAGTTAATTCCATGTGTGAGAAATGGAACAGGTCCTTAGGGATGCCAAAGAAAGAGTCCTGGATTACACAGCCTCTCTCCTGGTTCAGTCTCCAGGCAACAAGACTAAGAGTGATAGAAAATCACCAGGATGAGCAGCATCTCTAGCACATTCCTCCTGGGAGGCTGAGGGGTGAGAGGTCAGGCAGGGAATGGTGGCTCAGGAGATGCTCCTACGCAGTCCCAGCAGGTGCAGCCATCAGAGTAAGGCTCACACCATCTCCTGAGCAACCCTCAGTCCTGGGGCCCACACTGAACCCAGCAACACCTGCAAGGGAGGGCCTGGCTGGGCAGCTTGGGAGCAATCCAGCTGCAGTTATTGGTGTAGAAGAAGGGATAAAGTGCTTCAGAAAATTGTCCATCCTTGCCCTCCTCTGTGACAGCCTGTCTGGGCACATCAGCTCCTGGGCTCTTCCAAAGGAAGGCAAGAGGTCTGGCTGCTGAAACCACCTCCTTTCCAGAGCCAGATCTCAATCCCACGGTAATGGAGTCTTGCCATTATGGCTCAGACAGGAAGGGAAAGTCTCCTGGATTCCTGCAAAAGCAGGAGAGTGTGATGCACCACAGAGAGCATCTTCCTTAGCTCAGAAATCTGGGAGAGTTATCACCAAATATCGACCTTACTGTGGTGTAGGCAAGTCAGTCCCTTCCTGACCATGTGCTGTAACTGCAGCCCCCCAGCTCTCCCGGGCAGAGCAGACTCACCTGAGGGAAGGGGCGTGGTTTTCCCATACCCTGCAGCAGAGGACATGGCCTGACCCAGGGCTTGGTTGGAGCCCAGAGGCTGCTGAGAGCCGGAGGATTTCCCTGACGCAGCAGCTCTCTGCTTGGATTTGGACTCTTTGGAAGGCTTATTCCAGACCAGGCTCTCCCCGACCTGCAGGGCTGCTCCCATCTTCTGGGCCACCTCCACCATCTGCTCGAGAGGCACAAAGAGAAGAGCACTGTGAGCAGGAACCCTTCAGACAACAATGAAGTCAACATCTCCACAAAAAAAACCTGAAAAATGAGAGCTGTGCAGAGCTGGCTCCGGCCTCGGTGCTCCGGGGAAACATCTCCGTTAATTCATTCCCTTAATTAAGAGGGAATCTTGTCTTGCTGGGTATTGATTGAAGAACTGAGCTTCAAAGAGCAGCACTGAAGCGAGAGCAGCTCTCAGTAGGCGCCTGCTCCGCTCAGAGTACCTCATGAGCAGAATTTCTTCCTAACAACTGGACTCAAAGTCAAACCTCCTAGTGCTTCCAGCTCCTAGTGCTGCCAGCCCCGGTGTGGTTCCCAACCCCTGCCCCCGGGAAGGACGTACCTCGGGGTCGAAGTCGGGAGCGCTGCTCTCCTTGGCTGCGCTGACCCTCCTCTCCATCTCCTGGTACTGGCTCAGGGCCCCCTCCTTGTCACCCTGGTTGTAGAGCAGCACAGCGTAGTTCAGGTTGATCAGGGGGTTGCACCTGCAGCAGACACACACACACATTCCCCATGGGAACACTTGTGCTGGCTGGAATAAGGCTGAGGTGTGCCCCAGGAGCAGAGCTGGGGACACCTCCGTGGCACTGGCAGAGGAAGGGCTGCAGAGCCAGAGTCCTCAGGGAACACGGTGGAGCCCCTCATGTTTGGTGACAGCCACAGTGCCTCGGCTCAGCAAAGTCTCCCTGTGTCAATGAAGACATAAATCCCTCCCTCAGGTGCCTTACCCTCAGAACAGCCAGTTCAGTGCCCTTGGGGACCATCCCAGGACTGTTTCCTGCTCTCCCAGCCCCTGGATCCTGGGACGAGTAGAGCACTGACAGGGGTTTTCATCACCCTGTGAAAGCTGATCTTTCCCTGATTTCCCTCAGACTTTCCCAGCATTGCCAGTCTGCAGGAGAACAGCTTGGCACAGACAGGCAGTGGAATAGACTCCTGTTTTATTGGTTTTATTTTACGACCTAACCTGCTGCAGAACATGCTGTTTACATTGAATTTACATTTCAATTCCAGAGCACTGGCTCTTTACATTTCAATTCCTCACCTCTTCTCTCTCCTTCCCCCAGCAAAACACACACGATTGTAGACAATTGCAGACAGTAACAATTGTTATAGACAAGCAGTAGGAGATCCCTATTACAGAGGACCTGCAGAGGAGACTCACCCCACGGCTAACACGGGCACCTGCACACTCCTGCCTCCCTTCCCGAGTGAAGATTTCACCAGGCAGAACTGCTCCCTGTACTCATTTTCCACAGTATCCATTTCCTTCACTAGGATACATTCACCCCCAACAGCCCCTTCCCATCTGGCCTAGCCGGGGTGGGTGGAGGACTCTGCCAGTCCCCGGTTCCCTCCAGGAGCCCACTGGATCATCCCTGCACGTGGGTCAGGCTGGGATGCTCCGTGCTCTGACAACCAGCGTGAGCGAGGGACTGGTGCCCTCTCCTGGAGCGTGGCTGGGATAACTGGAACCATCCATGGACTGGGGGCCAAGGCAGAGGGACAAGTGCAGGAGGGAAGGATCCTGCTGGTACTGGGCAGTAAAGAAGGTGTCACGTGCAGGCCCTGCCTCTCCAGCCCGGGCGAGGTGACAGCGCTGCAGGGAACTCTGTCAGACAAATCTGATGGCATTTATAGCCGTGGCTGCTGCTTTAACTGGGAAACTGGAAGGCTGAGCCCACCACAGAATAAACCCTCTTCCCTGTCTTTGCCATAACACTGAAAAGATCAGACAGTCCTGGAAACAGCCAGTTTTAAAATTAATTGAACCTTGAGGAGCTATTCTGCCGCCTCCGAGAATGGAGAAGCAACATGACAGTCAGAGAAAAATCAACAGCTAAATAACCCCAGACGGGACAGCTGTGAGCTGGAACCAGGACTCAGAACACCTTTGCTAAAGGCTTTTTCCAAGATGTTTTTCATTCCAGTTCCCAGCGCTATAAAAGCATTGCTGGCGATGGAAACCAACACCACACTCGGTATCCCAGCCAAACAGCTCCGGACATGCCACAAAGGCAGCCTGTGGGGACAGAGACCAAGCTACACAACAACTGGCTAAAACACGCAGGGTGTCAGCTGAACCAGCCTCACACAGCCTGCATATTCCTTGCAGCAGGCCCCAGCAGTTGGAATTCATTCTTGCTTTAACGAGGGTTTATTTTCCTGGTCAGACCATGGAGCTGGAGCATCCCAGGAGTGCCAAATACTTGGGCAAAGTGGGAGAGCCAAATTTCCATTCCTTCCCTTTGAGCAAAGCACACGAGCCCATGACTGAGGAGTCTGAGCAATCTTTAAGGTCCTGTCCTGCCTCGCTGGGCATGGAAGGCTGTTTGGGAATAGAATCCCAGAATGGTTTGGATTGCAAAGACCTTAAAGCTCATCTCATTCCATGCCCTGCCACGGGCAGGGACACCTCCCACTATCCCAGGTTGCTCCAAGCCCCATCCAACCTGGCCTTGGACACTCCCAGGGATGGGGCAGCCACAGCTTCTCTGGGCAAGCTGGGCCAGGGCCTCCCCACCCTCACAGGGAAGGATTTCTCCCTCATCCCTGATCTCTCACCACCTTGTGTGGCCCCTGCAGATGGAAAGGGCTCCTGGCACCGCTCTGTGCCCAGCACAGACCCTGGGCTCACAGTGCTGGCTGCTCCAAGCATGCAAATACTCACCGTGAACTGGGGACAGAGACAAAACTATTAACAAATTTGAAATAATTTTGATTTGCTGCCTGAAATGATGAAATACTCTGAGGTTCAGCTTCACCTTTCTGAAATCAAATGCTCTGATTTTAAGATCTAGACTGCAAACATAGATATTGTTGTCAAAAAGGAGCAAGGACTATCCTTGCTCTTTTTTATTTGCTTTATACAAACTTCTTGCCCAGATTCTGGCAGTTAAAATCCTCCCTCTGCCCAATTCATAACAGGCTTTATCCCAAGCATCTCACTGCTCTGCACAGTGTTCAAACTTTGGGCTACAAAATATGTTTTCTTCTATTGAATCTGCTCCACTGTGCATAAACATTCACAGAAAGGAGGGCTAGAATCCAAAGCCATCACCACTGACTCACTAACCAAACAGCAAAACAAAAACCAGCTTTGGGCTGGTCTGAAATAAAATCCCCTTTCATTTTTCAGAGCTGAGTTGAATTAAAAAAAAAGGTGGGTTTAACACTATCACTTGCACAGGGATAAAAATGTCTCTCTCCTGCAAACCATTTTGGGTCAAAGCAGAAGAAGGGGTAAAGGGAATCAGGTGCAGGAGGCAAAGCTACGAGACCAAACAAGTGACAGCTCTGGTGAGCACTTACTTGTCCAGGGCCACAGCTTGTTCATAGGAGCACTTGGCATTCTCAATGTCTTCCAGGTTGGTCAGAGCAACTGCACCAAAGCAGAACACACACACAGGAGTTGATGTTTCATGGGGAGTTTGTTTTTAGGGCAGTGATGAATGTCATTCAGCCATGAAATATGTGCCAACAGGGTTGTCTGGACTGCTGCCAGGATTAACCCTGCTGATCACAGAATCATGGAATGGCCTGGGCTGGGAGGACTCTAAAGCCCATCTCATTCCACCCCCTGCCATGGGCAGGGACACCTCCCACCAGACCAGGTTGCTCCAAGGCCTGGCCAGCCTGGCCTTGAACACTTGCAGGGGTGGGGCAGCCACAGCTGCTCTGGGCATCCTGTGCCAGGACCTCACCACCCTCTGAGTGAATAATTTCTTCCTAATCTCTAATCTAAACCTGCTCTCGATGTCAATTCTGACATGTTTGTCTCATTTCATACTAAAAATGAAAATCCAGACCCACTCCTTAGGCAACCCAACCCCAAGCTGACATACCTAAAGTCTTTGTCAATGTTTAATCTGGATCTGACTGCAATTAAACCTTCTATTCACCCCAGAGAGAACAAACTGGGGAAGAGTTTCTTACTAAAGCCTTCATCCACTGTTTCTTTACTTCAGCTCACACCTTCTGTGTCTGTAATGCTGCATCCCCTCAGCTGGATCTCTGATGGAGCTGGACCATCACGTACCTGCCAGGAGCATGTAGAGCTCTCCCATCTTGGGCTGGAAGCTGATGGCAGCACTCAGGAAGTGGAAGGCTGAGGCATATTGCTGCATGGTGAGGTGCACCAGCCCCAGGTTGTACAGGATCTTCCAGTCAAAGGGAGCCAGGTAGTTTGCCCTCTTCAGGCAGCTGACAGCCTGCAAAAACAAACAGGGATAAATGTGCTGTGACAGCCTGGCCAGAATAGACCCCCTGCCTCTGCACCACAGGAACCTCGTGCCTGCATGAAGCTTGATACAGATGGGGAAAAATGGAAGCCTGATGCTTACTGCCACGTATTTCTTCTTTCCGAAGAAGCACATCCCGATGTTGTTCCAGAGCGGGGGGCTCTCGGGAACAGCGCCGGCCACCACCTTGTACTTGGAGAGGGCAACGTCGAAGTCCCCGTGGGCCTGCATCATGCTGCCAGCTGCCAGGGTGGCCTGGGGCACACAGAGTGACAGACACAGCAGGACAGCAAGAGGGGAAAATTATTAAACTAAAAACACTGAATCTTTCCAGGGTTTTCTCCCAAGGGCTGCCCAGACCAGCAGTGGGGACTTGGATCTGCCACCGCAGAGCAGAATACAGGGGCAAGAAGGGACCCGAGTCTGCTTCTTTCTGCACTGCCTCGACCACAACTGTCTCAGGAATGAGAGGGCTTGCCCAGGGAAGCTGGAACACATCCCTGGAAGTGTTCAAGGCCAGGCTGGACAGGGCTAGGGGCAACCTGGGATAGTGGAAGGTGTCCCTGCCCATAGCAGGGGGTGGGAGTCACTGATCCCTAATGTCCCCTTTACCCAAACCAGCTTGGGATTCTATGATTCTACAAATATTGCAACATGACGAGTGTTTAGGGTATTTTCTGGGGTGACAGAAGTATTTTTTTGGAGTCTGAGTCTCTGATTCTATGAAAAGAATCTATAGATTCTGTTTACCACCAAGCAGTGACAGAAATAGTTCTGGTACAAGACAAATGGGGAGTAAAACATACTCAAAGCAAGACATAAGCAGCAAAGCTCTCCTAGTTCACACTGACTGGCTGATACTGCAAATTAGTGGGAATATGCATGGGGGAAAAAAAGGGAAGTGAGTTCAACACACTATATTTAAACCATACCAGTTAAGTCCTTTATAGGATCTCACAGTGACAAATAAAATTCGTAAGTGTAAAGGTGTTTTCACAATAACTCATGTTTGTCAACCACACATTTCAATACTTTGCACTGTCAACAGGGAAAAAAGGAGAGAAATGAAGTAACACCCCTAAAAAGGGAAGCAGTTCCACAATCAGGAAGGAAACCAGGATGCCAAGCTCAGCTTTCCAGGCCAGAGCCAAGGGAATATATACAGCAGCTGGAAGCACAGGCAGAGTTATGAGCAGATGGGAGAATAACATAATGCAGTATCACTTGGATCTGTGCTCTGTCCTGAGGAGCCACAGGGACCCAGCACAGCTCTTGGGATTTTTGAAACAATGTCTAGAAGACCTTCCTTCCAAAGTAAATTCCACCTGGATTTGGTGCAATTTTAGATTAAAAACCAAAAGGATCAATCCCATACTCTGCTTCCTCCCCCTTCCCTATCTCAACATGCACCCAACTCCCCTCCCCAGGGAAACATCACAGAAACTATTTCAGAAAAAGCTTTCTGGACATGATCCTTTCCAGCCTCTCCAGGCCCTGGATACAGACAGCAGAGCTCTGATACTGGAATCAGCTTCAGGAGGTGTCCCATCACCATTCCCTCATACAACTCACCTTGTAGTTGCCTGGGTCATAGGTAAGTGCATTTCCAAGGTGTTCAAAGGCCTTCTGGTAATCTCCAGTCTGGGAAAGGAAGTACATACACATCAGAAACTCTGGAATAAGAGTGGCTAAGAAGGAGAACACATGCTTTATGAGCAGGAGAATTTCTGGTTCAGTTACACATTCAGGAAAGTGAATTTTACAGTGCTCCCATGACACACACATGTTCCTGTTTGATAATTCACAGAACAGATTCTAAAAATTTATTTTGCTGGGCTGGATTCACTGTTCTGACCCAAGCAAAGGTTTCCAAATAGTTTGTGCTCTGACTTTTCCATAGAAGAGTGAGCTCTGGGTTGATAGTTCTCTGCTCCTTTATCCCAGAAAAGAGGCTGTGAATTGCTACCCTGCACATCCTGGATTCCTTCGCCACAACCTCCTCACTCCCCAGGGCTCTTCTGTTCAGGTGAGAAAGACTCCCCTTGTCTTCCCTTGGACTGCAAGTGTTGGTGGGCCTGACTGTGGCCCTACATGAGCACATGACAGGTTAGAGTCCCTGAAATCCTGTGGATTGGAGCCTGATGAGCTGTAACGTCTTTTCAAACCAAACCATCCTGTGATTCTGTGTTTTCAACTGATTTCACCTAAAGCCCATCCAGTTCCAACCCCTGCCATGGGCAGGGACACCTCCCACTATCCCAGGTTACTCCAAGCCCTGTCCAACCTGGCCTTGGACACTTCCAGGGATGGGGCAGCCACAGCTTCTCTGGGCAAGCTGGGCCAGGGCCTCACCACCCTCACAGCCAACAATTCCTTCCCAATATCCCATCTAATCCTGCCCTCTGGCAGTGGGAAGCCATTCCCCCTTGGCCTGTCCCTCCATCCCTTGTCCCAAGTCCCTCTCCAGCTCTCCTGGAGCCCCTTTAGGCACTGGAAGGGGCTCTCAGGTCTCCCTGGAGCTTCTCTTCTCCAGCTGAACACCCCCAGCTCTCCCAGCCTGGCTCCAGAGCAGAGGGGCTCCAGCCCTTGGAGCAGCTCCGGGGCCTCCTCTTCCTTTCAGGCACTGCTGCCCGTTCTTTGCTTGTTCACTCTCTGGGAAGTTTACTTCTGGAACAATCCCCAGCCCTTCCCATCCATTTCCCAGAGCCAGGGATAAGCACCTCTTTGTTATTTAAATCGATTCTGATTTTTCTCTGTGGTGCATTAACACTTACAATTTCACGGCTGCTTTTGTGGGATAACTTGCAAGACTCCTGCTCCAGGAACAAGGTAATGACTAGTCATGTTTTGTTATATTTGGAGGATTTATAACAGAATTAGGGCCCTTGCCAAACACAATTCCTGCTCTGGCTCTGGTCCAGGGAATCAACTTGCTTTTAGCAGCAACAAGAAGATAGAGAAAATCAAGCTCTGTCCTGTTAAACTCAGTCTTTAGAGAAACATGTGCAAGTCATGGGGAGTGCACAGAAATTAACTCCATAAAAAAACAACAGTGTTCTTTTGAAAATAATTAAGTTTATGCAACAGCTAACAGCCTTCAGTACCTGCAGGTACAATAAGCCCAGGGCTGTGAGGAGGTCTGTGTTTTCTGGAGAAAACCTGGAACACAAAAGCATTTGCTTATCAGCCCTTCCAGAACAAGGTAAAAACAGAACACGGAATTCTGATTCTACATTGCACTTGTACCACTCCAGGAAATTAATTTCACTGTTATTATTAAACACAAATATCAGAACAATTGCCACCATGAGGGCTTCCTTTGGATAACACAACACCTCAGCTTCCCAGATGTCCTCTGGATATCAATGGGAAGGCAGCAAGGCTCTGTGGGATAGATCTGGACATGTAATAGGATAACGTGGGTTTGTTAAGCTGCAAAGTGAGTCTGCATCAGTGACCTGGAAACACAAAATGGGATTTTCCATCATCTCCCATAAACCACCCTGTAAATCCATCCATCCTAAGCCTCTCAGGCCACGCAGGACAGGCAGTGCTCAGCATTTCTGATGGATCCCACACACATTCCTCATCAGACTCTTAATTCCTCCTATAAAAAGATTACAAATAAACAGGATGGAAACAACAACCAAAGCCAAAAAGCAGAGAGAGGCACTATTTGTGGCCTCACCACAACAGAAGTCAGTTTTCAATTCCCTGCTGCCAAGACTTAGGAAATCTGATCTGCACGCTCACATTGGCACCCCTAAACCTCAACCAGAACAAAACTGCCTGTGCCTGGTGGTGCACAAAGATGGAATAACAGATTATCATGGAGCTGGAAACGGCAAGAAAAATATGAGAGGCAGATGAGAACAACAACAACAAAAAAAAAAAAGGAGAAAAAAAACAGGAGTGAGGAAGAAAGGAGGGCAGGGGAGCAATGGGATAAGATACATAAACCCGGTAAGATGCTTAGCAAGGATTATTTACGTAATAAACATTCTAGATTAGTTCCAATGCCCACCCAACCCACCCCACTGTCAGAAGCAGATGAGTAGGGAAACACTGGGGTAGCTCCTCCAGTGGCTCCCAACATGCTCCTGCTTTTCCTTAGTGCTGGCAACATTTTAAAAGCACTGGTAAATCAGATGCTCAGGAATGCCCTAAAACAGGTACTAAGCAGCAGTGACAGGGTGGGATAAACTCCCTGTGCCCCAACCCATCTCCAGCCTGCCCACTCACAGCTTCCAACCACGAACCCCTGGGAGGGAGAGCAGCACGTGAGACCCAGCTGAGGATTTGGGGCAATCAGGGTTAGATCATTTTGGTAGATAAACCTTTGGGACTGATGAAGTCAGTTGTGGATCGGTTTGCTCCCAGGCATCTCCATCCGCTTGTTATTCTGCTTTTCTGGCAGCCCTTCCAGCAGCTCCCTCCCTCCCTGCCACACTGGCAGCAGGAGCAGGACCACAGCTGAGAGCAGAGACAGCTGAAGAGCTTGGAAGTGCCAGCTTTGCTCAGAGACTCTATAATTACCATTAGCTTTTTAATCATGGCCCCAATTCAGATCTGGGACACCAATCAATTTTCTCCTGGCATAGGATGGGAACGGGCAGATGGAATAAAGGATATTTCTTACTCTACGGCTTTCTTGTAGACTTCAATGGCTTTCTCCACCTGCCCCTCCAAGAGGTGGATTTTCCCCAGCATCATGTAAGTCAGGTCGTGCCTGTTGAGCTCCAGGGCATTGTTGAGCTGGTCTCGTGCCTAAAGACACAACCAGAGCGAACAACAAAAAATGGTGAGCGATTACAGAGCCCTCAGTGCAGCAGCAGCCCAAGAGCAACCCCCAGAGCCAGGGAAGAACAGCCAACAAACACCCCCTGAGCCCGCAGAACACAAAACCCAGCCCAGATAATTGTTGGAACAAGCTCTGCAGCAGCAGCCACGGCTTTTAGGAGCAGGAAAAGGCAACAGGATGTGCTTGAAGCCAATCAGGAGACAATGGCCTCCCAGGGAGGAGAGGAGCAGGGACCTGTTCCTGGATTTGAGCTTGTTTGTTCTGAGGGAAGCTCTGGATTTGTCAGGTGAACAGGTACTTTACAGCCTTTTCTTCCTTAAAATGCTTTTCCAGCAGTGAGCATGGACTGCCAAGTGACAACCCCAGAGCTGTGAGCAGGTCCCAGCTTGGAAGGTGCCAGTGCAGACAACAAATCCCAAGTGTGAATCTATACCCCCAGAGCTTTCTGCTTTACAGGGATGTCTCAAACAGGGAATGCAGCTGGGGTTTGCTGCAAGGGCCACAGCACCCCACCAGGAAGAGCAGCAGGGCCAAACTGGAAACAAAAAGGTTCTAAATTGTGGTTTTACTCTTACAAACTGCACCAGAGGCAGCTCAGTGCTCACCCCCAGCACTCAGGGATGGTTAAGTGAGGAGCATGCTCGGACTGGGAATATTAATTCCATTTCAGCTGCCAAGAAGTCCTTTGTGAACTCCAAAGCTAATGCAGTTAGTGCTGCCCACACTGCAGCCATGCTCTTCTGTCACTTCTGCTCCAGGCTCGGGGCAAAGGGAGCTTCAGACACAGGAGCAAACCCTTTCCATGGAGGGAAAAAGGTGCCCTCTCCACCTCCAGCAAACCCAGCTCAAAACTCTTCACTCTGAATCCTGCCAGACCCCAGGGGCAGCAGGTGTCCTTTGGGAACTCTCCTCACGAGGGGCAGCAGTTTGAGCTGGGGAAATGGTTTGGGGCTTTATCATCACACTTGTTGTTTCAGGAGGATGGATCTGGATTCCTCTCCTACAAAGCCAGCACTGTTCCTGGGTCTGGCTCTAAGAGGCTCAGAGACAGAAGCAGCCCTTGCTGGAGCACAGCTGGTTTTCTGTCCACTTTGAGGTTTCTCAAACATTCTGTTTCAAACCAGAAACGCTCTCTGAAAAATCCCAAATTTCAGCAAAAGCCTCCTGCTCTGCCACAGGCTCCCTTTATCCAACCTCACTGACTTGGAGCTGACTCAAAGTAACTCAACACACCAATGGGAACAGACACAGCTCCCAGACCTTTGATCCCAGAAGCCAATGTTGAAGTAAAAAACTTCCCTTGTACCTATGGCTGCAAATGACCCACTCCAAGCTACCAAAGCCTGGGAGATTTCTGGGATGCTTCCTGCTTCCCATTGCCATTACCTTGTTGAAGTGCTTCAGGTACATGTAGCACACACCCAGGTTGTGGCTGATCTCCTGTTTGAAAAAAAGAACAAAACCAAATCAGCACAAGGTATGAAATACAGAATCTGTCAGCAGTTAACAGACAGTACTGACCCGGGTCACAGACCCCTGTGCCTGCCCACACCCTGCTTGCTTTGTAGAGCCAGTAAGCCTATAAATTCAAGTTACTTCAGAGCACCTACAGAGAATAAGTGGGATTGTACACAAAAGATCAGAGTCCACTGAGACAAAAACCACGGAAATGACAAATCTCTCTTCAGAGAGATCAGAAATTCCTCTTCAGAGAACGAAGAGCACAGACTGGTTTCTTCCCCACGATGTCACTCTCTCAGACTAGGGGTGTTGCCCTTATGGGTGGCTCTCAGTCCAGCTGTACATCATTAGGATGTGCACAATGCCCAACCCAGCTGAACTGAACTAGAAGATGTGCCTAAAAATTGGGCAAGTCAGAAGTTGAGCACCAGAAGGGCTGATATCCCTCTGGCATCCTAAACAATTCTGCTCAGGGTAGGAAGATGACTTAGGGATCCTAAACACTCTGGTGACACTGTAGGGACTGTCCATGCCTCTCAATCCTCACCCACAATTTAACAGACAAGCACCTGGCACCTTCCCCATCCCAGCACATCTTGGGGAGCTGAAAAGCAAGGCCCCCATTCCTTGTTTCTATTCTGGTGAGCATTTCACTGCTTCACCAGCTTGGACAGCCTTGACCTTCCACAGGAAACTCTCTCATTGCCCCATTAGCCCCCCTGGTATTTTCCTCCACACAGCCTCTCCAGCTGTGTAAGACAGCACTGAGCAAGGACTGCTGGTTGCTGCAGCTTGCAGAACAAGGGAAGAGCACAGCCTGGCTCTGCTTCCAGTGCTGAGCCAGGAATGGGGAATAAATCATCAAAATCCCCACTGATATCTGCCTGCTGGGTTACAGGATGCCAAGCACTGCAAGGAGCTTGGTGAGCTAAGGGAATGCAAGTGGGAAAAAGACCCAGGGCATAAAATGTTTCTGAGTCGTCTGGCACAGGGTAAGTTGAAAAAAACCAAAGATATCTTTGTATCCTGAATTTCGCACATACTGAGCAACAAATGGATGAGCTCACATATTGCAAGCTCATCTTAGAAACACTCCTGCAGGCCAAACAGTCACCTGCAAAAGGCTACCAGGCCCTCTCACTCAGTGTCACACCTTTCCCTCCACAGTGCTCTTCCTTCTCTGTCTTTTTATACAGAAGGGCTAATTTAATCATTGCTGCTGTATTTTCCATCATGTTTTGCATCACAAAAACTTTCCCAATGACTCCAGCGAGTTTTAATAACTGAGGGTTTCAGAACACTTCCCAGACTTCCCTTCGCATCCAGCTGTGGTTACATTCCAACTGGCATTCACAAAGCTCAAACCGCTGCTCGATTCTCTGTGTCCCCAGACAAGGTGTGGGGCTCTGCAGGTGGAATGGTGCCTGGCTCCTGCGAGCCACACCAGGCTCACAGCACAGGCAGTGTGAGCTCACCTTGCCCTGGGACAATTCTGCAGCTCCTACAACAACCTGCAGCTCACTGGACACTCACCCAGTCCTTCTCATCCAGTTTTGCTGCTTCGTTGTACACTTCGATGGCTGCCTTGTGCTTCCCCAGGAGAAACCTGCAAAAGGATTTCAATTCTTATGTTTTCCTTGCGTTCAGACCCTGCTGTGCAGCCACTGTCACCTTTGCCAGGCAGAAATGATGCTATTTGCTGATTCTCCAGAGAGCTGCATGAGAAGTTTAAAATCTCAGCAATCTCAGCAGTGCTCCCTCTCAGGGCCAAAGTCATCCATCCTGACATTACTGGAGATGCAAGGAATGAATTCCCAGGCTCTGCAGCCTCCCTTTGTCTCCAAGGAAAGAGACATGTGGCCCAACAGGACACTCAGAGACAGAAGGGTGTCTGTAGGGCAAGCTTGCCCAGCTCAGGTCAGCACCTGGAGCTGTGAACTAAAAATCAGTGTCACCTCTCTGCTTAAAGCCCAGAGAAGAAGAAAACACAATATCAGCCAGGCAGATAAGAGGGATTCTGCTTTAAGAACAACCCACGCTTCTGGGAGCCAACCCAAGTGTAGATAAGGAGGAAACATGTCTGGAATTAAGCAGCCTGGAAGAAAAACAATACATGGAAGGTCCTGGATGGCACATCAAAGAGAAACAATAAAACACCACTCACAGGGATCGTGCCACCTGCTTGAGGTTGTCAGCGCTCCGCGGGTTCAGAATGGAACATGTCTGGAAAAGTTCAAGAGATTCTTGAATTTTCCCCTCCAAGCGAAATATCAAAGCTGTAAAACAACACAGAGCAGGCAAATCAGTCCAGTATCTGCAGGAAGAATGTGCCTCTGACAGCAGGGAAAGAAGGGGGGATAGAGATGTATTTTAGCAACGCTCCTCTGGTCCTTGCCCCTCCTACAGCACTCCAAGACGGGTTTGAGGGCAGAATGACAATACAGGCAAAGGACTCTGCCAGCCTGCAGAAATCTGGGGGTCAGAATAAAGCCTTGAAGCTTCAAACCCTGGGCAATTCCTTATACAGATGCAGTCTGGATTTCTCCCCTCCCCAGATTCTACAGTGTGTCTTTGGCCAGGCCTGTTGTCCTCCCCACCACAGCACTTGGAATTGGAATGCTACGTTTTGGGGGATGTATTTTAGGGGACAGAGGGCAGGGCAGGAAGAGGAATTCCATCCTCAGAACCAACAGGGAGACAACAATCACCTGAGGTGGGGATCTCTGACAGAAAACACACGTCTGTAACACAGTCAAACACACCTCAAGGCACTGAAGGCCAAGAGCTCACAGTCCAAGAAGGAATCACTGACAGAGAAAACATAAAACCTAATCTGCCCACTTCATGGGAAAATCCCCAACTCCAAAACTAGATGGAGCAAGTAGGGGAAAAAAAACCCAAATATCTTTTACTCAACAATTTTGTGTGTTTGCCTCATCTGCTCCCCTCCTCACTGCTCACTCCATCTCAAATCAGGGGTGCCTTACTTTAGCAAACTGAACTTCTGGACGTACCTTGGACGTAGACAGCGTATTCACAGAGCCCTTGGGACTCCTGGAGCTGCTCCTTGATGACAGCCTGGAAGGACAGGAGTTGTAAACTTGCATCACTTTAGCAGAGATTGGATTTCAGTCACAGAAACCACAACCCCACCTGTAATAAGGGCACTGGACTGTGACTGGGCCAAGCACAGGAGAGCAGGAATAATGTGGCCCTTTCAGTATTCCTCTGTTCATTCCTATTCCCAAAGGTAATTAGATACTACCTGGGGAAAATGCCACGAGGCATCTCTGGAAGCATCCTCTGCTGATAAGGGTATCTGCTCTAGGCTATTTGTGAAGAAATAAATTGAATTGGAGCAACTGCAGCTGAGTCAATGAAAGCCAAATGAACAAATGAGGAGTGCAGGGGAAAAAAAAAAAAAAACTGATGGAAATGTAAATTCCTGCTGGCTGCATCCATGCAGCTGCCACTCTGGGGTGAGGGTGCAGTCTGGACATATTCCATAGGCACAGGTGACCTGAAATTATAGAACTGGCCAAAAAGAGTGACTTTTGGGAGGATGAGCACTCTGTGCAGGAACCAGAGGCAATAATTTCTGTGTGAGCAGTAAGGTGGTGCTCATCTGGCACTCCAGATGAGAGTGGTCAGTCCCAGCATCCCCTGCCTCCCAGAGGGATATAAGTGAAGGACCTGAAAACTGAACCCCAAATACAGCACGTGGAAGGAAAACTGTTATTGAGAAAGTTATTACTGAGGGGAGATGAATTGAGAAGAGATTATTGAGAAGATGGGAAGTTATTACTGATTATCCTCACTTGGAAAAAGAGAGGAAAGAAAAGGAAGAACATATCTGGGCTGCTCTTCCCTCAGCTGTATCTGCTAATTTATCTACATAATTTATAAAGTGAATTATTAAGTGAATTAACTCAGAAATAACCACACATCCTAATCTGGAAACTCTGTATTGCTCCATCTACATAAGCCCAGATTCTCAGAGCAAGAGAGGGCAATAGAGAGCTGCATTTTAGAGAGATCTGATTAATTCTGTAAACCCTAAAAAATCCTACAGCAAAAGGCCTTGAGATGAGAAGTATGATGTGTAATCTCAGCTTTCCCTCCAAGTTTATTTAAGCCACAGGCAGAATTTGGACACACTGGCAGGAGATCAACCAGTCCCTGTGTGATCCCAAGGGATGCTGCAGCCACAGGCTTTGTTTGCACCTTGCTGGAGTGGCCCAGAGAGGGTTGAAATCAGTTCAGTGCCTTCACAGGGGAGCCGATGTTGGTAAATAAACAGCTTTTAATGGCCTTCTAGGGCACTGAAAAATATGGAAGCTTTTAAAACCACGTTAGAGAGGGAGTGTTTCAAAGCACCGAGTGGGAAAGACCAAAATTAATTAGCACCACAGGTCACTTGTTTCTTAACTGAGTCTTAAAAGAAAGCTAATGGATTTTAACAAGTGCCCAAACTATGCTGTAACCAAGGAGTTCACAGCAATTTAGGCCTTGGGGGATACTGCCAATACCTCTTTTGGTTTTGAAGGCATCAGCCCCAGGTAGCAAGTTTGGGAATGTCTCATCACATCTAAGAGCATCCAGGTTGGATCTGTAACCAGAAGTAGCAGCAGGGGGGGAGACAAACACCCCCTGAGGGCAGCTCAGCCCTCCCAGAGCTCAATCACCTCTGGGACTCCCCAGGGATGGATGAACCATCCTGGCACTCTGAGGTTCCTGTCTTTGGGACTAACCCAGCCCTCTGAGCACACATCCCTCACATCCAGAGACAGGACAGAAGGTCATTTAACCTGCTGTGCTCTGGTGCCATACTCCTCCAATCTTACTGCAGAAACCCTGTTTTGTGAGCTCTGAGAAAAGGCTGTGCTGCCTTTCCCTTGGCCAGCAAAGCTGGCCTGCCAAGCAGAGGAGTATTTATGAGCTGTCTTCTCTCAATCTTTCCCCCCCTATTTTCCCTTTTCCCTGACCGATGAAGACATGCAGCAGTCAGTGTTGCCATTGTATCATCCCCTTGTTATATCCTCTGGTTTCCTGAGCTGTACGTAGTTTTCCTTTCTGTGATTCTACCAACAGTCAACTTACACCAAAAGAATCCAGCCAGATAACAAAAAAGGGAAACAATTTTCTGTTTGCAGGACTAGCCCAACTTTTGTTTATATCTGTTCAAACCAAGACCTTAGAGGAAATTCCTGTGCTGACAATCCAGCCCTCCGGCTCTTTTAATTAAGAGTTAAATGCATTTCCTCACCCTGTCCCTTCTCTGAGCACCCCCAGGAGCACTCCAGCAGAGGGACAAGTCCTGACCAACCTGGTGTTTCAGAAGACAAAAAGTCTTTTCAGATCTTCTTTGCACATGACAGAACCTGAATGAGAATTCATTTCCCTCCTCCTGCCTGCTGGTGCATCATCTTCATGTCCTCATCTCAGAATCATGGAACGGTTCGGGTTGGAAGAGACCTTAAAGCTCATCTCATTCCACCCCTTGCCATGGGCAGGGACACCTTCCACTAGACCAGGTTGCTCCAACCCCCATCCAGCCTGGTCTTTATCATCTTCACCAGCTCAGATTCATTTTATCAGGAAAACACACTGTCTAATAATAATTTGCCATTGCCTTAGTCCAAGTACCATTATAACCCCAAATAAACAACCACTTCCAAACCCAAGAGGAATCAGAGGGTGCGATGGATCATGTGTAAAATGAAAGAATTTTGCTCAAGGGTAAGCAGGATATTTTTTATTTACACTTGGTGGTAACGCTTTCCTCAACTGGAGTGTTTTTCATAGCATCTCTGTAGTACCACCCAGAGACCTGCACTGTGGAACTGAGTTATTATCAGCTTGGAAAACCCCATCCATCACTTGGAACAAGAGAGGTTTATAGTTCTTTCCATTTCTCCACTCCTAAAGACATCCTGAGCTCACAGATTGCTCCAGGGAGCTGCACACATGGATCCTGAAGGCAGCCAAGGATTTAAGAACACTGGAGTCATTTTACTTGTGCTTTCTCTTGGTCCCCTTATTCCAAAAGAAATCAGGAAAGAGGGTACTTTGAAAACCGTCAAAAAAACTATTATTTTATAACACCAGTAAAATAATTCCCCAGGGAAGTCCCAGAGGCAGCTCTTACCTTGCACTCCTCGTAGTCCCTGCGGACGTAGAGCAGGTAAATCAGCCAGTTCTTCCTCTCCAGGATGGGCAGCTCCGGTGCTGTACATGTAAAACATCCACAGAGCACAGGGAATCAGCCTGAGCAGCAGAGAGCCTGGAAGAGAGATTCCCAACCACCCCAGCTGCCAGCACAAGGCAACCAACTGCACAAGTGCCATTGCAGCAGGAGGTGCAATCAGTGATTTCACTGGAGGGCTGGCACGTGGAAATCCAGCAGAGTCTGGGTTTATTTTACTTCTCAAACTGGTGCAGAAAATGCCTTGTTCAGGACAGACACTTCATAGAAGCTCTCAGCAGAAAACTTCCACCAGGTCTAGTGGAAGGTGTCCTTGCCCATGGCAGTGGCTTGGAACGTGATGGGATTTAAGGTCCCAACCCAAACCAGCCTGGGATTCTAAAAGGCCTGAGGCATCAGCTCCTTCTGGAGCAGGTCCTGGAGCAAACAGCCCCAAGCACCGACCACGCACACATTTTAATTCAACAGTAATGCTGGTTCGGAGGAATTGGATTTTTTCAGATATGCAAGAAGCAGCTTGGAGGAAACAAGTTGGACTCACTTCTTTAAACCGGGGCAGAAGAATCAAAGGTCTTTAGAATAAATTTCTGGGAGTGAACGAGCAGGAAATGGGCGATACACACAAAAGGAGATGTGGGAGATGCTGCCGGTCTGAAGGTGTGAATAATTTAAAGGGGTCAAACTCAGTTCTTTGAAACTGCGAAGGGACTACGAAAAATTACAGCTCTGAGCTCCTGTGAAGCTCCTGGCACAAAACCACGGACGTGATGCGGTGGAGGAGGGAGCCTCGTGCTCCAGCACTTGCACGGCGCAGAGCTGGCAGCGGTAATTACGGCCCATCACGGAGGGATGTTGCTTAGCGATCCCCACGCTGGGCTTACACGTTTAACTCACTGCTGCGCATTTCATTAGGGCTGCAAATGGATTGCCGGGCCCCGGTGTCTCCGGCGCTGGGGTAACCATAGCAACCGGCCAAAAAGCTCCCTCTGCCAGGCAGCATCGTGACACAAGTGCAGAAGAAAAGCAGGGAGAGGGCTGGGGGACACCTGATCCCTTTGGAGCACAGCACCCACACACACACAGGCGGAGGGGGGATTTGGGGCGGTCAGGTCACCATCGGATGGGAGAAAGAAGCAACTGTGCAGCTGGAAGGGCTGGATCATGTAGGGAGACATTATCTTTGCCAAGGGTTGTTATCTCCTGGAAAGGCCGAGCTTTAATCACTTCTTGCACACCCCACAACCAAACCGAGCCCAGTATCACTGAGAGCTCCTAAAACCAACTTGGAAAACATTTTGTAAAGCCTTTCTCATTTTCTTGTATTTATTTCCTAAATTCCAGAATATTGAGTGAGATTTATATTAGAGCCGAGATTTCAGTGCGCACACCAGCAATTTGAGGTCAAATACCTTCTAAAGGAGGTTCAACCACCCTAAAACAAATAGAAAACCCACAGTCCAAACAAGAAAGTAATCCAAACAAACACAAAAGTAATCCAAACAAAGAAGTAATCCAAACAAAAGAGCAATCCAAACAAGAGAGTAGTGCAAACACGCTAGGCTTACAGAGATACACAGAGCAGGGATCCAAATGTTCCCAAACTCTGCTCCACTGTGGAATATCCAGATCTTTGTAAGTTTAATTTTAATATGTGTGTTCACAGATCAGGTTAATTGATTTCTGATTACTTTATGTTTTGCATTTGTCCTTCTGAGGGTGAAACCATGAAGGGAAGAGTGCAGAGACTGCCTAAGCACCTCCAGATGGGTTGAAACCTGGAGTGCTGCTGCTCTGAAGCCCATAGAGGGGCTCCCTAATTCATGTGATTTCCCTGTGTAAGATGTTACAGGTGCCAGGGTTTGACAGAACTTTCTTTTCCGAGGAACTCGGCACTTGGGGGTGCTGGAAATGCACTGCCCCATCCCTGGAAGTGTCCAAGGCCAGGTTGGGTGGGGCTTGGAGCAACCTGGGATAGTGGGACGTGTCCCTGTCCTTGGCAGGAGGTGGAACTGGATGGGTTTTTAGGTCCCTTCCAACCCAAAACTATTTTTATGGAAGCAGCTGGACTTGTGTGCCCTTCCTGCCTGGCATCTCCTGGAGCCACTATCTGATATAAACCACCAAACCTGGCACACCTGGGCACTTCCCACCTTCTGTAAGCATGGATTTAGGGGCAAACACTGCAAACCCTGTTTAACCACAGATACCCCACTAACAATCCAAACTAAAGTATCCGTCAGGATTTTGTGCCTACTGATGCAGCTTCAAATTAGAAAATCCCAGAACTGTCTGAAACAGGGCATGATCAGAAGACCCTCCAGACATACCCTACAGGGTCTCCAAGCATCTGTAACCCACACCTTACTGGGAGGTTAAAAAGCACCATGAAAGGTTAAAACATGCACCAGTGTTTAGGGCAAAGCTACGAGGACAGAGAGTGGATGGAAGACTGGTTGTTTATTCCTGAAGGAAAGAGCTTTTTCACACTTCTGAGACAAGAGGGATGTTATCCTCCACTCCCACACCACAGAAATGCCTGCTGGGAACAGGGAGGGGAAGGAATCAGTGAGTGCTGAGCAGAAGGTCAGGATGCAAATAAAAAAAGGGTAAAATCCAAGGAGCGACCTTAAAGTGCTGGGATGGAGAGAAAGCAGAGAAATCAAGACCCACCAGCAGACCCAGGAGTGACCAACGTTCACAGCTGTGGAGATAAACCAGCTCTGCTTCCCCCAGTGACACTGTGAGCTGAGGGTAACTGTAGAACTGGGAAAACACGTGGAGTTCTTATGCTCCTAAAACCCATTTGGGAACAGCAGCAAACCTGACTGAAGGGGATATGAACCTCCTTGTTTCTTTCCTTTCTCCCTAAGACAAGCAAATTGAAAACAGGCAAACCATTCTGATGATTTTCAAAACAGGTGTCTAAATTGTTATTTAAATTTGACACAGGAACACATCTGACCTCCAAAAAATGGCTGTGGGAAGTAAAGGTCTATCACCAGGCTCTTTACTCTATCAAGATGCAGAAGGAATTAATGGGAACTATGGGAACACCTTTCCAGAGACACAACCACCCTACCTGCATTTCTGATTTCCCACAGAGCAGTGGGATACCTGCTCCTGGTGCATTTATCTCCCTCGGGTTTGCTGCCCCAGCCTGCTGAGCAACACATGGACCTCCAGGAGCTTCTCCTGTGTCAGTGCTGGATGAAGACACACTTTCCTTTGTCCAGGCACTGCAAGGACACAGGTTAGAAAATGATAACTCAGCTCATTCTAGCAGCGAAGAAACAAAAAGCCATCACTTTCTGTAAATCAATCTGCCCAAGGGCCAGTCCAGGAAAACACAGTTAATCCAAAAAATTGGTATCTACAACAAAAAGAGTTTATAACTTCCATCATTGTCTTCTGGCCTCTCTTTTGCTGGATTACAAAAGTCCTGTGCCAGGGAGTCAGGCACCAAATATATGATTAAATACCTCTGAAGTGTGTTTTGATTGAATTCCAAAGGGAATCCATGTGATCCCCCACCTCCTCACTGGCCAGTGATTGATGGCAGGAGCCACTTCCAGCACTGTGATTTTTCTTCCTGACAATGCTCCTTTAAGGGAGCCACTGGAGCAGAAACCCCGACAGAATTGAGTGAGATCATCAGGTTTGTATCTGTGCTGCTCTATCATCACTCTTCCCTTTACTCATCCTTTTATAGATTTTCTCAAAGGACTGAAAAAAATAATAATGAGAGTTATTCCTTTTTGTGTAAACCTCCCTAGGAAATTATTTTGTGCTTATATCTTCATATTGGGTAATTACAGCTTAGAGATGAACTATCAAACAGTGGGGTTTAAATTTAATAAAAGGGCTTTAAAATTGCTGTAAAGAGAGGAGGGAGAAAAAGAAATCCACTGAAGGCTCTTATCAGATTTTGTGGAGGAAATTATTGTTAAAGCACCAGCACTGAGAAGGGGTCATCATAATAAAAAAAATCAGATCAGGGCCCAGCCCTCCTTCCAGCCTGGATTATCGGAAAGGGTCTCAGTCCCAGTGCACTTCAGCTTTGAGCCCAACCTGCAGCAACCTGAGCGAGAGCAGCAGGAAGAGCCTAGAAGAGCAGCACAGGGGCAAAAGACTCAAGAAGACACAAAAAAGAACCTGATATCAACCAAAATCCATGGTAACCTGAGGCATACATGACATATGGCACAAGGAGAGGACAGAAGAGCTTTGAAAAATAATTCAATAAAAGTATTTGTAATTTTTTTTATCCTGCAGTAGCCTCACGAGCCAGAGTCTGGATCCATCGTGGTAGGTACCATATACATGGGAAGGGTTATCCAAAAGGACTCAACTGTCCTTTTTCAAATTCCAATGCCAAATTCCATGTTGTAAAACAGCACTAAGCACAGAGGTATTTTCAAAACTAACAAGCACAGAGGACACACCTCAAGTCTCTATTGTGACATTTTACTATTGAGGGAGCTACACTGAAGAAGAATTTGATAAAGACCATCTTAGAATCCCAGAATGTTTTGGGTTGGAAGGTACCTTAAAGGTCATCTGGTGGGACACCTCCCACCAGCCCAGGTTGCTCCAAGCCCCATCCAACCTGGCCTTGGACACTTCCAGGGATGGGGCAGCCACAGCTTCTCTGGGCAACCTGTGCCAGGACCTCCCCACCCTCACAGGGAAGAATTTCTTCCTAATATCCAATCCAAACCTGCCCTCTGTCAGTTTGAAACCATTACACCTTGCTCCAGAGAAGCCACAGTGGGAAGCTTGGCCATGGTGAAGGCAGGAGGGATGGAGGTGATCAGCTCCCACCATCATGCAAGGCCTGTCCCAACCTGCAGCACCTGCACTGGGTTGGAGATTCATTCCCCATTTTCAAGTAATCCGAGTCATGGGCTCATCAGCAAAGTCCCAACAGCATGAAGACAATCCCTTTGCCGCTGCAGCATCCAGAGCTGAGAGGCAGCCCATGGAATTCCCTCCAGAGCGACCGCTGCCCCATCCCTCGCTCCCA